TCCCTTAATATATAGATGATAAATTATAGAAAGAAATCTTAAATATAGTAAAAAAAAAAAAAGAAGTAAACTAGACTGCAACATATTAATATACAGTAGAACCTCTATAAATTAATACTCGATAAATTAATAAACACGATAAACTAATAAATTTTGCCGGTCCCGAGTCGGGGCAATGTAAAAATTAACTAAATTCAATAAGATAATAAGATGATAATTTTTTTGAAATTCCTATATAAAAATATTGTCCCAATAATAACATAAATTAATAATCAAGTAAAATATAAATATATATATATATATATATATATATATATATATATATTAATATTTTCATAAAAATAGCCAAAATTTACTCTAAGTTTTCAAATATTGAATATGCATCATTTTGTTTTAATAGTCGTATAGGTTTTTCAAATACAACTATAGATGTCATTATTTATAAATTTTAATTTATGTATATCGTTTATATATGTAAATTCTATAATCTTTGTTATTCATTGTAAAAAAAAAAAAATTATTTTCTCTTTGAAATATTAAATGTTTAAGTCTAAAACTATAAAATTTATAACATCCAAAACATTAATTTTATTGAGATCACATTGTTTTCCCTCATATTTTTTTAAACAAATTTAACTATTAAAACAAAACTTTCTATAAATTAATATTTATTAATTTACACTATAAATTAATAAATATTAATTTATAGATAAATTAATATCACTATAAATTAATAAAATATCATGGTCCCAACATTATTAATTTATAGAGGTTTTACAGTATACAAAATCTAGTAAGTAAAGACATATAGAATGTGGCTTAACTTTTTTTTGAAATGGCAATCTATTTATATTATTACTTAATGTTGAACATAAATAATAAACACTTTCTTCGATTAATTGAGTTGAGATATTTGATACGTATTTGTATTGACTCACATAATAAGAAAAGTATATAAAAGTTTCAATATAAAATTACATAATGATTTATGAATTTGTCTATAGAAAAATATTTTTTTCATTTGTGTTGCGGAAAAGATTTGTAAGCCTGTAGATATCCCGTTGGACTTAGATTTGCAAAAAACAAAGGGTGATTGGGAGAGACTTTAAGAACTTTTTTATGTCAAATCTTAAAAGCTAAAAATTTACCAATCACACTATTACCAATTTATTTGTTTCTAAAGCTTTTAACGTTTAACAGCTCATTTTGTATTCAAGTTACTTTCAATTTTTTTTAAGTAACAAATAAGAGACTTTTTGGACTGTAGAAAATAAATAATAAAATAAAATCTGTTTATTTTCTTTTTCTTCATCCCCATAATGATTGAAAAGCCATTTCTGAATCTATGAAAAATTTATCTCAAATAATATATTTTGATTACTTAACAAAAATCTTTTTATTTCTATTCTTTTGAGATCCATTTTTCATATTTTTTTGCATCAACAATCATCATAAGCCATAATCAATCTGGTCAGAGTGATAGTTTCTGAATCCAAAGACCAAACTAGATATTTATATGGATTAAATATATTTTATATGTTGATAATATTTATCTATTTAATTATTTTTTATTTTTTTCTAAACTTTATTATTACTAAAAACAATTTCGCACTATATTGCCACAAAAATTCATTTTTAGTCTAATTTATATTTCTAAACAATATATAATAAAAATAACAGTCACAGCTTCTACAACTTTTTGTTACCAATCATACGTTAACAGATAAAGTCTCTACAGTTAAAGTCTCTACAACCAAATTCTCTATAGTCAAAGTTTTACAGTAAAATTCTCTACAGCCAAAAATAACAGTCGTTAACAATCGGTCCAAAAATGTATGCGGAATTTCAATTTACAATAAAGATATTTGTAATTGTAAAACTTTAATGTACCTTTTTATGTAATATTATATCTAAAGAAAAAATAACGTTTTTACAAAGATATTTGTAATAGTAAGACTCTTAATGTGTCTTTTTTTATGTAATATTATTTTTTAAAAAAATAAAGTTTTTACAACTAGTGTATCGGAAATTTGAGTTTAATAAAAGAGAAAGCTGAAACTAGTGCATCAGAAACATTTTTTTTTTCTTTTTATTGTATGTTGTTTTCTTATTATCTCTTTTGAATTTTTAGGGGATAATTTTTCTGTTTGGAGCTCAAGTCAAAGTTGCATCGGCGACTTCATGAGATCGATTATCTTCATATGAATTTTTTCAGAATCTCGATTGTATTTTTCGTCTTAATGCTTCATAATTTCTGATATTTTATTCTCAATTGATTATTTTTACTTTTTAGCTACTAGCCTACTACCACACATTTTGACTTCATGTTTTATGAACAACAAGACTTCTAAAGTTGTTTTTGGAGAATTTGGATATTTGTTTTCAAAATGTTAGCATTGTTCAACATATCTTTTGTTGTCGTCCCATAAGCCACGTAAAAAATTTGATCAAAAAATCATTGGAATTGTTTCAAATTTAATTCTACATGAACAAGCCACCACATGAAATGGTTTGCCCATTTCCTCTGCCTATCCTTCTCTTTAATCATTTAGACTTGAACCTTTTTGGAACTAATGTTGGCTTTTGGAACTTTTGTTACGTCTTTTGATTATGCTGAAACAAATGTACATGTTTGGTATTTTGTTTAGAGATTGTCTTTTCTGGTTAATCACATTTAACGTTTCAAATCGTTTTTCCTAGCATTTTCAATATAAATTCAGCTTTTATATATGAAATAAATATAAATGAGTTACTAAGTAGTATCCAATAAATCAATAAATTGTGACTGATTGCAAACAAAATAAGTTAAATACATATTGACAAAACAGTTGCAAATCACTGACTACAACTGTTTTTCTTAAATTGGTCGCATTACTTTCAGACTAATTTGCGACCCTTTGACACAAGATTCTGGGATTTATTCGCGACCACGTTTATGTCACGATTCTACGACGTCATAGTTCGTTGCAACTTAGTTCGAATGTTCGATATTAAAGTTGGTCACATAATAGTCTTACATTTAGGACCCAGCTATAATGTCTCATTTTAGTCACTGATATAAGACTATCTTTAGACGTTCTAAAAGCGTTGCAAATGTACGACTCAATTGCGACCATAGGCATCTTGCGACGGACGATTTGCTACGAATTTGGTGTGTCACGCAACCGTCCTAAATAGGTGTTTTACGACTAACTTATGGCGATTTACGGGGTTCAACAAGTCATGTTTTCTTATATTGATCATATCAAACATCGAATCAGACAATTTTAGCAATTCAGTGGGTTACATGCTTTATATATATGTGTGTGTGCATTTAATTTATAGTATTAAAATCTTAGTATACTATAATACAGAAATTATCAATCAAATTTAAGAAGAAGTCTATTTGTTGTTTAAATTATTTATTGTTGGTTTTTCTTAAAATTAACTTTTTGAAATAATTTATAAATCTAAAAAATAAAATTGAGTTGTTATGTTTAGTCTCCATCATAAAAATAGCAAAGTACTTTGAGCATAGAAATAACATAATTTCATGAGGAGATCACAAGTATACAATCTCTACGATACATCATTAAAAAATCTTATTATCAGAGTAAAAACTGAGTAGGATAATTTAACCTATATACTTTGAAATGTACAAGGGCATTGAAGTCTCGCATCCTTCTTCATCTTCTTCTCCAATTCAACTGTATTTTTGATATGACTCTTTGACATTAAATGGAACCTTCACCGCCTCCATTTAAGGGACACCCGAAAATTGGTACAGTGTAATACAATCCCTCATTTAATGATATTACTATGAAAAACGTTTTATTGTTGCACCTGTCTATCTACTTCTTAAAATCTATGGTTGTAGTTTCAGATTTATTTTTAAGTTCTCTTGTCTGATTCTAGCTGTTGTTTTCACTAGATCTTCTCCTCTGCTATTGTATTTCATACTTATGTCTAATAACAATAATTATGTAATTTATGTACGATTTTTCATTATAAATGTTTTATGTACTGAGCTGATGATTTAGCTTATATTTTAATTTATTATATCATGTCATAAAGTAGCTAATTAGTGTTGATCATTAAGTTGAATGAACATTATAGCGACGGTTGTCCAGTGATTGAGGCTCGTAACTCATGAGGTATGATGTAATCTCGCATCCGCATATTCGGTATAGCTATGAAAACAAAAATACATGTGTGGCCATGGTTGGAGCTAAGGCAAAAGCCGGTAGATAAGATGTTTTGGCCGTTATATTCACCCAGAACTTAGTCAGGTTTAACCGGATTAAAAAGATGAGAGGATTATTTTATGTTTAGAGTAACACTATTTCTTACACTAAGATTTTTTTAGAGTAAAAATAAAGTAATACATTATAGAGAAATTATATTATATTTTAAGAGTTATTCTATTTTACAATAAAAATGCATTGGAAATAATCTATCTTGCGATTTATTCGTGTAAGTTATTTTTCTCTAAAGGGTTTCCAATCGTTGATCTAAGTTTATAAGTTAGAAAAAACACCGATATAATTAAAAATATTATTGTATAGTGTCGCAAAACTCCGATTATTTCAAAAGGCATCTAATTGGTACGTAAGCAATACTATGCTACTTACGCAACTTAATTTGTTTTACTCTCGACCTACGTAGTTCTTACCAATAGACACAAGTCAGTAGATATCAGATTATTTTGCCTGAGTGCGGCCAAATTAATTACAAACTGTCCAAGACAACAGAAGATTATTAAATAAAGGTAATAAATTGTGACCCGTTTTCAAATACATCCAATAGCTTATTGAAATTGAATTAGCCTTTTAATTTTATTATATTTATGGGAAGGTAGGAATAGAGCGTTGGATATATTTATATACATCTGAAGGTTTTAAATTAGCTCTCTGGTTGCAGTAATTGAAGAGGCGAAACTTTGAATGCACGTCATGCATGGGCAGTGTAGGCCCATTAAATTTTTCTAAAACAATATTTTGTAATAAACTAATAAAGGCAAAATATTCAACTGCCTATATAAAGATCGTCGAAATAGTTTGGCCTACACAAGAATAAGCACATCGTACGTATAAATATTTCTATATGATGTTAGAATTTCTAGACAAAGGAAATCTAAACTGGTTGTTGAAGAAACCAAAGATCGCTTCATCTTATTGCATGGAAGCTGAGGAAGGTTCTAGAAAAAGAAAGGGTCAAGAATTTGTAGCAAACGATGAGGTCGTCAAAAGATCCGAATCACAAAACTTTACACATACTTCGTTTGATCAGAAGGTAAACATATTTTGGGTCGTATAAATATTTTAAGATTTTGTGCAAACAACTTTTTTGTCACACAGATATTTGATGTTTTGAGAAGGTTTTAGAATAAAAAAATCATGGTAAAAGATTAGATGTCGTTGAACATGCATATATTTTTAATTAGGAGGTGTGTAAAATAATTTTTCTTGATCTTATGTTGCAGAGAAAAAGATACAGTGAAGATTCAACAAATATGAATAATAATATCGAAGAAGGATATAGTCACCACCACATGAGCCTTGATCTTGAACTCAACTTGTCACCATCTCTCATCGATCTAAATCATCATCAAGATAATTACTACAAAAGTTATGAGGACGATGAAAGGAAGAAGAAGATGATGGAGAAGGATTTGGTCTTGGGGCTAGAGACAAGGAAAAGCATGTCTAGGGTTGCTTTTGATCTCGATGAAGATTGTTGCGACCGCGGTGGTGTTGGCGGGGGAAACGAGGAAGAGATGGTTGCGAGAGTGTGTATGAAGTGCCATATGCTAGTGATGTTGTGTAAAGCATCACCGGCGTGCCCTAATTGCAAGTTTATGCATTCACCTGAAGACACCTCTCTCTCACTTATTTTTACTCCTAAGCCTACTTTGTTAGCTTAGTTATTGTTTAGGTTCTAATCTTATTAATATCTAATCACTAATTAATGCATCGTATTTAATGTTTTCATCGAACAAATATTTTATTTGTTGGGATGTTGTTGGAACTTTGATTTATATAGTATACGATCATTAATGTGATCCGCTTTCCCTGTACCCTTTTTTTTTCTGAATCACCACCTAGGAAGCACGGAAGCTTCGTCGGACGTCCGCTTCCCGCTTCGGAATCTTAGTCGGAATCGGAAGCTCTCGGAAGCTTTCGGAATCTCGCTTCCATAACGCTTCTAAAAAATTCATTTTGGAAGCTCCTTGGAAGCTTACGATTCTATTTTGGAAGCTTGCGATTCCATTTAAAAAATTTGATGTCACAAAATAAATAAGAAATATGAAATTATGTTTGATAGTTTTTTTATACAACAAAAGAAAAACCAAAACTAATTTTGCATACTAATTTTGTATTTTATTTTTTAAAATATCATAGTTAGAAAAATGATAGCAGCATGGATCATTTATTAGAGAGATGTTGAAATGATTAATTGAATTAAATTAATTTTGAGAAATTTGAGTTTGATGATGTTTTTATTGGTAAAAAAAATTTAAAACAATTTTATTTGATGGAATTAGTAAAATGAGAATGAAGAATGATCTTAAATTTTTGACTTTGAACTATTTGACTTTTCTCTATTGTAAACGTACACTATTTGATTTTTAAATATAGAGAGATATTTAGAATTTATGTATTAGATTTGTATGTTAATTATAATTTTTTATATGATATAATGTTTAATGTTTATTATATATATATATATATATATATATATATATATATATATATATATATATATATATATATATTAATTTTTATATACGCTTCCAACACGTACCCATTTTCTATAATTTCTACAAAAATCGATTCCACGTTTCCAAACGCTTTGCTTCCGCGTACCCGCTTCTGATTCCATGCAACCTAGATCACCACATTGTAATGTTGAGAATATAATGTTAGTTGGTGATCTTCTTTCACCTGGTCTCATTGGGCCATATATTTTTCTTGTAAGATCATCTCCAATGTATTTTCCTATATTTGTCTTTAAAATAGAGAAACTCTATAATAGAGTTGAGTTTTGCTCCAACGTATTCTTCTATTTTTTCCTCTAAAAATTTTAACTCTATTATAGAGAAAAAATATAGAGGAAAAATAGAAATCATCTATATATAGAGGAAAAAAGAGATATCTATTTTAGAGGTGAAAATAGAAGTGGGTTAGAGTGGATTTCACTCTATAATAGAGTACTAGATACAGAACCCGCGCCTTGCGCCGGAGGAGGTTGATGGTCACAATTTTCTGTATAAATAAAAAAATTGTTCAATCTTTAAAAAGGTTAAATAATTTCTGTCTTTTAATAAATTTCTTTATATACGTATACATGCCCGGTCCTTGGATATTAGGGGCCTAAAGCATACTTCAATAGTAAATTAATTTAAAAAAAAAAAAAAACTGTGAAAGATGAGATTCGAACTTGGGACAAGACACTATTTTACAGACTACATAACCACTAGACTAACGAAGTTTCTTAATAATATAGGTCTAAAATCTTTGTTATATTTTGTGGCCTAAAGCAGATGCTTTGACTGCTTTATGGGTGGGCCGGGCCTGTACGTATAAATCAGTATTTTTACGTACGATCAGAACCGTCCGGTATGTTTGGTTAACATGCGACTCGTACATATCTCCGGTTTAAGTTTAGTGCTAATGTCCGTTAAAAGATAGGATTTTAAATTGTTTGTGTATTCACTATTTAGTTATTTTTAACTTTTTCAGTTTTTCATATTCACTATCCTACTATCTTAGTATATTTTATGGTTTTAGTTAGATTAAAAATATTTAATCATGTTACTATTATTGTTAGACTTCATATTTTGTAAAACATGATATGATTATTTTAATTTTAATTTTTATATTTTTAAAAAACTATATAATCTCTATAAATTTTAAATAAATTAAAATAATAATCAATTGACCCGTGTTTGAACCCGGTTAACCTAGTGACTCAGAAAGAAGTCTGCTTCATTGTTTGGATCAGATTTAAAAACATTGATACAAATGTGTAAAAGAAATTGCATGATTATAGACGATTAATGGAGAAACATTAAGCAAATGGAGTACGTATTATAGATTTTACACTACTACATATTATTGAACGTATTATAGATTTTACACTACTACATATTATTAAACGAATTATAGCATGATTATAAGTTAAGTAAAAGAAATAGTAAAACGTTAAATGAATCAAAGAAACTAACTTTAGCATCAATCAAGATTAATTTTGGATGCTTTCACCAACATTAGCAAAGTATTGTAGCCTCTACTACATTTTAATGATCTTGCTAATATAGAAATAAAGGTAGTCTCGAAGCCTCTCTTACTAATATTAGTTACATAATCATTTGTTTAAGTTTGTGGTAAAGATTTGTTGCATAATTATTTGCAATTTTAATTAGAATTCGTTTTGATTGATGGAATATATGTATGTATAATACTAATGGCAAATTCTGTAAATAGTCTAATAAAATTTTGGCAAATATTTAAATAGGTGACAAATCATTCTGAGAGCGACACGTCAGCATGACAATCTTGTTAATAACACGTTAATGTAAGATTTATTTTTTAGAGTGTTTCTCTATTAATATATAAGAGATTAGTTACATAATCATTTGTTTAAGTTTGTGGTAAAGATTTGTTGCATAATTATTTGCAATTTTAATTAGAAATTCGTTTTGATTGATGGAATATATGTATGTATAATATTAATGGCAAATTCTGTAAATAGTCTAATAAAATTTAGGCAAATATTTAAATAGGTGACAAATCATTCTGAGAGCGACACGTCAGCATGACAATCTTGTTAATAACACGTTAATGTAAGATTTATTTTTTAGAGTGTTTCTCTATTATTATATAAGGGATAGAGAAAAAAAATAGATGTGAGTTGGAGATGCTCTAAGCTTGTACTCCCTCTGTTTCAAAATATAGGATGTTTTAGAGATTTTTTTTGTTGCAAAATATAGGATGTTTTACACATTTCTATGCAACATTTAAATGCATTTGATGTGTTATGACCATTTGTATTCTGTAGTCTTTTATATCATTGGTTGGATTTTTAAAAATTAAATATTAAATAATAGTTTTAAAAACAACAATGAATTTCTTAAAATACGTGCTTTTAACTTAAACATCCTATATTTTGATACAGAGTGAGTATATATTATTGAATTAAAAAAGTACAACTTAAATACAAGACTAAAAGAGCTGAGAACAATCACATACAACTTCTTTCACTCTTTATTCTGTCCAGATCAAGTAGATAGAGGATTGCCAAGCAATTAGCAAAAGCTTCCTGATTAGCTTGAATTCGGAATTCGGAGTGGTGAAATTTTTAAATTGTTTAGATAAAAATAAAACTTTCGAAAAACAAAATAAAGAGATTATTTACTAGAAGGTATGTGGTTATATTCTTTATTTTATTCTAAGGATTATTTACTACAAGGTATCTAAGGCTCTTTCTTCTTCTTTTTCTTCTTTCGTCATTCTCTCTTCTCTATTTCTTCTTCTTCTCTCTCATGTGCCTCCCTTTGGAGCATTCGGAGAAAGTCCCATCTATTACTTGTTCTTTTTTTTAGTAGATTAATCATCCGGTTCACGATAACGTGGTTGTCTCTCTGTAGCTAGGTCATTGTTTGGAGTTTTCGATCCTCATCACCGATCAATATCAGTACGTCATTTTTTGGGTTAGCAATAGAAATCATTCTCGTACAGCTTTACGATCATGGTATCCGATATCCAACGCTACATCTTCGCATATCATTTTGAAGTTATTACTTTATACATCCATTTTGATGCGATTATAATTTTAAAATTAGTAACATATCCAAACTTTCAACTTTTCCCATGAACATGATTGAGAGAGATGAAACAAGAATCTGGGAAAAGATAATTTCTTCATTCAAGTGTAAAATGAGATACAAAGTATAGTTAAATACAAGTAAAACTAAACCACTATGCTAACCTAACTATACAAGAGATTAAACCATAACTAAACCAGCTATATACACTCTAATACTCCCCCTCAAGATGAAAGTATCAAGGAACTTTCATCTTGGACTTGAAAAACTCCATTAGTGTGTGTCCTCCATAACTTTCTCAATAGTAGAAGTATCAATGGACATGAATATCCATGGCTTGAAACTAAAAACACAATGAGTCTCTGGTGATCTTGTTAGTAATCCAAAGATTAATGTGCTTAAACGACCATTATCATCCACATGCTCTTGCCCAACAAAGCTAACATCGCCATGAAGTAAAAGAGCAAAAACATCGTTGGTGAGAAGAGCTGCTGCAACTTTTGATTTCCAATAAAGAATAACTGCAACAGATTTGGCTTCTTCCTTGTATAAAGCTGGACACCTTCATACACTTGTGCAGGAAGTAGATGAATCAACATGATGTGATATCTCTGTGATAACCAGTCCAAAAAACATCACTGGTAACTCCCCCTGTCTTGGAACAAATGTTGATGAAGCATGTCTTTTCAACTCATTCTCTGAAACCTTGAACCCAACAATCACTTTGCCATACATCAGCCAAAAATCAATTGTGGCAATGGCTTGTTCCATATCAATAGAGATCAAACGAAACCAGAGAAACTGAATCAATATTGTCTTGACATAGAGGTTTAAGTGATGAACCATAGTGTGGATGTCGGATTCACACACTCAAGTATTTTTATTAAGTAGGAAAGATTACTCTTGAGGGACAAAAATAAATATGCAAAAAGCTTATGAATTGCTACAAAAATTGCTGTAGTATTTCTTATTCGAGAGAGAGATCCCCCTTTACATGGCCATTGGCCTTTATATTTATACATAGAAAAATGACATTTAATGGGCTAATTAAGTACAATTATTATCTCTTAAATGTGACCGTTTTGGTCTTTGACTTTAATGCTCAACATTTGAATTTGTGTTGACTCCGATTTTAGTGGGCCTCGCCTTTTGGCCCAAATGTCCTTGGACCAACTTAACCGTGACTTCGTCTCCGGAATTGTATCGAGGTGCAGTCACTTCGGATTCTCCTTATGGTGATAACCACTTCGAATGTTCCTTTTGACTTGCAGGTCTAACGGTCTTTATCCCTTATGGGCTGTTAACCCAACTACGTGGCAATCTTTGGTTGGTCCCGAACCTCTGGTGCGGGATCTGACACCAACAATTAGCCCCTAAAGTTCTTCGAAGTGCCATTCCAATTCGGAGGACTTTAAATGCTTTAATGACCAAAGATTGCGTTCTGAGGAATCTTCTGATTTTCCCGCCAAGATCCCGTCAGTCCTTTAATTTCGGCGCTATCCATGTTTAGTCGCGTGACATCTGTCACCATTATGACCGTATCTTAATTATTTACTATTAAAGCGGGAAACTTTCCACTTCCCCCACGATTCCCAAGGCGGTTTCACCATTATCACTTAGCTTTCGTGAGGTAACTTCTTTCATCATCACTTTTTTACTCTTACGCTTTAATCGAAACTTCTCTCTTCCCTTTCTTCGCCGATTTTCTCTTTGCCGGATTTTAAATTTCTCCGATGACTTCTGATTCCGAAAGACCCGAGTCTCCATCCTTTGAAGGCGGCTCTAGTAATGACGAATGCACTCGTCCTAACGACATTGCTGGTCCGCACTACAGATCCACCTGTACCGTTCAATCCCTAGAGCGATTAAAAGGGCTTTGCCAGATTTCCCCTGGAATCATAGCGGAAGCGCAGATAGCCGACCCTACGGAGTCCCCGGAAAATCACCGCGACGGCTACTTTTGTGTTTATGAAATCTACTTCAAGGGCTGCAGATTGACCTTCCCCCTTCCCGAAGCCCTGGTTCGATACTTGGCGGCTCTTGAGATCGCTTTACCTCAGCTAACCCCCAATCTCCTCCGAACCATCCTCGGGATCATAACCGTTGCGGCGGAAGCAGACTACATTATTGGAGTCCCCGAGCTGAACGAACTTCTAAGCGTGAGAAGTTCGTCAAAGAAAACAGGGTACTTCTCGGCGTATCCGAATGCCAACAGGAACGTCATCTCGCACCTCCCAAACAAGGATGAAAACTGGCACCATCCTTGGTTCCTGATTAAGAAAACTCCTACTTCGATTGGAAATCTTTCCGATGTACTCCCATCGAAGTGGACTGCGAAGCCTGGTAGAAACTAGGTCGTATATTCCTTTCCTGGTTGTCTTATTTTTTTTCTGACCAAACTCGTTGTTTCACTTCGCAGCTGTCATCGCTTCGACTCTTCCGACCGAAGAATTCGTCAGGTTCTTCAAAACAATCCTTGAAGGGGAAACCCTTTGGAATTCTTTCACCCTCGATCGGTTCGTTGAGGCCAATCAAAAACTCAGGATGAGTACCCCCAATCAACTTCATCGTCTTCCGCCTCCTCCCTCAACTCAGGGAATGTCAGCTCGGGCCCTCACTGCCCAGCGTAAGAAACTCTCCAAGCCGATAGCGGAGGGTTGTGATGAAAACAAGGCGTTCCTTGCGGCCGCCATTGACAAAAAAGACTACAGCAAGACCCTGCTGGTTGATGACAACAGCAAGACCCTGCTGGTTGATGACAACAGCACCGAGGGAGCCAGGTCCGTCGCTGCTTTCAGATTAACTCCTCGTCGCGAACGTCGTGACGAACGTTCTCCTCGGAGGGACCGATCTCCTCGTCGTGATTCTCCTCGTCCTCTCCGAGATGATTTTAGCAATGAACCACTTAAGAACTTGGTTCGCAGGAAGAGAGACAAGTCATCTCGTAGTGATTCTTCTCCGCGAAGGGAGAAGTCAAGGGCCCGGACTGACCGTTCACCTCGATCATCCCCTCCCACTGAACCAATGGGTCCTCCTCGACCTGTTGATATGTCTTCTTCTTCCCAGCCTGACAGCGAAGACTGCTCGGAGTGCATCTCCTAAAAAGGGAGATTCTGAGTCTCGAGATGCTTCCTCGAAGTTAAAGCCTGCTCTTGTCCCTCAAATCAAATCACTTTCAGGTTTGACGATTTACATACGCTTAAAAGTTTTTATCTCTGCTTAGATTCCAATTTTTACAACTCTTCTTCCTTCACAGCTATGGAGAAAGAAGGCAGCGTTTTCCGATGCTTCAAGACCCGATCAGGTGCAATCTTGCCAGATTTTGACAAGTGGCGCCCTGCGATCCGTGAACGCTACTTGCTTCACGCTCATCATTCATCTCGGGTTAGTTCCGCTTTATTTTTCTGATTGTGCTGCCATTTTTCGAACTGACTCGCCATCCCGGTTTTATTGTATAATACTAGGCTAACGGCGAGCTTAATGACATGATTGAGCAATATGAGGGGTTGGTCATTGGTCGGGAAAAGGAGATTGACGCGTGGAAGAAAAAACTTTCTGCTCTTGAAGCTGAACTCTGTTCTTCCACCGGTTCCAAGCATGATCTGGAGGACAAGGTCGATAGTCTAACATCCGAGCTTGCGAAGATAAAGGGGGAGCTGCAGGACCAGTATGACCGGAATTACAAACTCCAGGATGAACTTTCTGGTGTTCAAGGTAGACTTCATGAATCCGAATCAACCGGCGATACCCTGAACAACCAACTTATTGAGCTTAACGCGAAGTACAAGGCGATCACCAAATTGCGTGATTCCGAATTGGCGAGGTCGGCATCAAAAGCCAGAAAAGAGGTTAAGGGACGCGGGATGGAGTTGATCCAAGGAGCCATCCGCTTCATTCAAACCGAGAAAGCTAGGTCAGATTTGGAATCAGACATCAAGGAGCACGAGAACAACCTGATTCTGTTGGATCAAATCCATGAAACAGATTTCTCCGAGGTGCAAGAGAGGACCGAACTATCGGCTAATCTTTCTGAAAAGCGGAGTCACTTGGCAGCGCTTCCTACTTCGACCTTCAATCCTCATCACTTCGAGGAGTTCTTCACAGAATCACCTCCCATAAGTGAATCGGGTCTAGACTGGGCAGGTAACCTTTGGCTCCTGACACTTACTACCTTTTTCTTGCCTTATATTTTTTTAATCGAATGGAACTGTCCTTCCTAGGCTCAAGTAGAACGGAAGATGTCGCCCCACCCGAAGTTCCTTCGGCACCGGAGGTCACCCCGGAGGATGGTTGTACCGTGGAGGGCGGACCAGGAGCTTCATCTGACCAAACACCAGTCAAGGAGGCGAATGAAACTTCGACAGCCGAGCCGGAATCCGAGGTGGCTGTCGATCCGTAGTGGATGTGTCCGCTTTAAACTGGGAATTGTCCCATTTATTTTAAAACTTAATTTCGAACTTGTTTTTGCCTAAGGAGGCTTTATCATTTCTTTTGAACAAGATATTTGCCTGAGGAGGCTTTTAAACCTTTCTAGGTTTTGACCCCAAGGGGGTTTGGTTAAAATTATGTGCGGGTTTGCAAAGTCCGCTTTTAACCCTTTGTGGCCTTGTGGTTATGCTTTCAAGATTTTTAGGCTGATCAGACCTTTCTCTTTAGAATGCGAGAACTAAGCTCGGCTTAAAGCGAGTTCCCCACTTCGGGTTTAGTCAACTCGGTAAATTTATTTGGCTTGGGCCTTAGAAACTTTTGTATTTAATGCGACGGTTGCTCTTTCCCTTCTTATTTCTTGAAAGTAGGAAAAGCGGCTTGTCTTTAATGCAATAACTGCCTTTTCTCGATTTCCAAAAATGGTTTAAGTTACTTGGGCACACCATCATTAATGATTTTTTGTTTCCAAGACAAACCCTATTCCTATTATAAATAGGAGATTGTTTGCCTTTAATCTTTTCTCAAGAAACTTCATAATCCATTCAACAAGCACCACGTCAATGGAAAACGAAAACGTAGTCCCCGTTGATCCCGGCAGCCCGCTTTTTCTGTTCGGCGATGGCTTTGAACTGGCTGGCGTTCTTTTTCCTTACGCCGTCTTTCACTTTCCTTCAAAGGAGAAGAAAGAGGCTTGCGATTTTATCGACAAGGTTAACATCAGTCGTCCTTGATTAAAAACTTTTTGTTTCATTTAATTCATTCATCTTTATGCTAGGTCGCCGACAAATACCATCGCCTGTGTGAGGAGAGGCAGCGGCTGGGTCTTAAAAGGCAGACACTTGAGGCTCGCATCACTCAGGTGGAGAGGAAGATAAGGGCTCTGGAAAGTGATCCCTTTCAATGGGAATGGCGGAACTTCGATTCTGTTGCTGAGATCCCGAAGATGCTTCGGATGTATCTCCGTGCTAAAGGAGTTCCGGGTCCTGTGAATGCCCCGGTCTATACCGTTCCATCTGATAGCGAGGAAGAAGACGAGGAGGAGGCCAGCACCGGTCGGAAACTCGTTCGGGATCATTCCGAAGTGGATGCCAAGAACAAGGCGTCCACTTCGAAAGTTAAACCGGCGATGAAGGAGCCTGTTCCTGAGCCTCTTCCTTAAATGTTCCCTAACTCTACTCCTTTTTTTTTTTTTGAACTCGTAATGGGCTTGTGATTTCCCTTTTTTATTTATGAAAAAATTCGCAATTTTCCTTATTCTTCAAAATATTCTCGGAGATTTATCTTTTAATGCATGATCGGTTTAAGAGCGTAAATCTCTCCGCGAATCACTCCATTCCTAGGATAAAATCCGCGGTTTACTAGGGACATGACGTTCCTATAAATTATAGTCTCAATTCCCTTTACTCCTCACCACTCTTTTTTATTTTAGCAGGTATGGAGTTCAACCTTCGATGTTCAGAATCTATGCCCGACTTCTCCAGGATCGGAATGATAAACGAAGATGTTCCAAATGAGCCAAACAGGCAGCCTCTTCCACCTCGCGGCTTCTTCAGATCTCAGATCCAAGCTCCGTGTGCTTTGATCAGGGATCTCCCAATCAGAGACCAAGGAACAGCGATGGCATTCATAGAGGCACTTGCGCTTCAACATCGGAAGCTTACTTTGGAAAAGAGGAGACTCCGGAAGAGGATTATCCGGATGCAACGCAGGCTTACCACGGTATCGAGAGATCTTCACATCCTTGGCTCTCACCCCGGTGAATGGATCGAGCTTGGAATCTCTGACTTCGCTCGAATCCCGGACTGCATGATGCCAATCCTCGATTTTGCTGGTCAAGGAGTTGAAGTGTTCTGCTCGTCAACAAGATTTCCCTAATCCGAAGTGTACGATAAGGGACATTCCGTCTTATTTGTTTGAATAAATGCTCTATTTCCAATCTCTTGTATGTTCGCATAGCCAAACCTTTATTTGCTTCACTTGTTCACTCAGTCGAACCTTTTCCTTTAATAAAGAAATAAAACAAAATTTTTATTAATAGCTGAACTCGTTTCTGAGCTGCCTACGTACCCATTTCGGGATCAAGCCACACCGTAGTTCATGTACATAAAAATGCATGTAGCTTTAAACATAAAACTTCTTTAGGTTGATCACATTCCAAGGTCGCTTGACTGGCCTGTCTTCTAAGTCTTTCAATCTATAAACACCGTTCCGAACCACTTCGGTAATAATGTAAGGTCCTTCCCAATTAATACCGAGTTTACCGGCACCTTCTTCTTTTTTATTGTCAAAAACGCGCCTTAACACATAATCTCCCACGAAGAACGACCTAATTTTGACTTTAGAGTTGTAATATCGGGCTGCTGCCTGCTGGTAGTTCTGAATCCGAATCAAAGCTTGATCACGCCTTTCATTTATGGTATCTAGTGAATCATTAAGCATTGCTGAATTTTCTTCCTCATTTAATGGTGCTTCTGTTCGGCGAAGTCCGGGCACGTTGAGTTCAGCTGGTACTACTGCCTCCATGCCATAAACCAAAGAGAATGGAGTTTCTCCGGTAGGTCACCTAGGGGTTGTACGATAGGCCCATAGGACAGGTTGGAGTTCTTCATACCATCCTCCCTTTAGATGATTCAAACGTTTCTTGAGATTGCTCAGTATCGTCTTGTTCGCGGCTTCAGCTTGACCGTTTCCTTGCGGATATCGTGGAGTAGAGTAACTGACTTTGATTCCCCAGTCCGCACAAAAGGCATCAAACTCTTGTGAAATGAATTGTGGCCCGTTATTAGTGACTATTTCGTACGGAACTCCATGTCGACATATAATATTTTTCCAAATGAAAGTCTTCACCGCCGAATCCTTGATGCCAACATATGCCTCAGCTTCAATCCACTTCGAAAAGTAGTCTGTCAAGACCAAAAGGTATTGTACACCTCGAGTTGACCTGTGCAATGGTTCGATGATGTCCATTGACCACCTCATAAACGGGTATGGGGCGGAGATGGAAGAGAATAACTCCGAAGGTTGATGGATCAATAGTGCATGGAGTTGGCAGCGCTTACATCTTTGGGCGAATTTAACACAATCTGTGATCATAGTGGGCCAGTAGTATCCCATTCTTTTAACTTTAAAAGCCATAGCTCTTCCTGATGAATGACTCCCGCATAACCCTTCATGCACTTCGCTCATGAAGATTTCGACTTCGGGCCCAAAAATGCATAATAGGTAAGGGTCACTGACACCTCGTCTATATAATGCATCCTTTGATAGACAAAATTTTGCGCTAACGATTTTCATTTTCCTGGCCTGCCACTTATTCTTTGGGAGCTCGCCTGTCGTGATGTAGTGCTTTATTGGCTCCCTCCAGTCAACCCCCCAGTCTTTAGCCGTAATTTGGTCATCCTTGTGAAATACTCGTGGCTCTGGTTCGGGATGTTTGTTTGGTTCAAGAACATCCTCCTCGATTAATGGATCGGTTTCTAATATCGTTTCTAGAATCACATCTTCTGCTAAGACAACGGGTTCCTTACTATATGTGTTTGATCCCTTTGATTTCCTCCGTTTGATGGGTGGCAGTTCGACCTCCGGTTTGTCACGGTCACGTGCCACTGCTCGAGATCTTGTAACGATGAGTGTTTCTTTGTTATCCTGAATGCTTCGTTCCGAAATGCATTCTACTGGGATAACTCTTTTCAAGTCAGGATCTGATGTTGATGCTAACGCGGCAAGCGCGTCCGCGGTTGTATTCTCTCCCCGGGGTATGCGAATTAATTCGAATTTCGAGAAATTATTAGATAGATCCTTTGCCACTTCGAGGTATGCTTCCATTCTTGAGTCCTTGGCCTCGTAGTCTCCATTAAACTGGTTAACTACTAATTGCGAATCACAATAAGCGACTATTTCCTTAGCTCCAACTCCTTGTGCCAATCGAAGTCCGGCAATCAGGGCTTCGTATTCTGCCTCATTGTTGGAAGCATTAAATAATAATCGGAATGATTGTTCTAGAATTTCCGATGTTGGAGATTCCAGCTTGATTCCCACTCCGGATCCTTGCTTCGATGAAGACCCATCTACATGTAATTTCCAAGTTTGGTTCTCCGATTGCTCTATCGTTCCAGGTATTGGTAGCTCGGTTAGGAAATCTGCTAAAACCTGAGCTTTCATACTGATTCGGCTTTTGAATTCTATGTCGTACTCGCTCAATTCCACCGCCCATTTTGCCAAACGTCCGGACTGACTTGGACTATGAAGTATTGTTCGGAGTGGCTGGTTGGTTAATACTTCAACCGGATGAGATTGAAAATATGGGCGCAGCTTCCGAGCTGAAATCACCACTACGAGTGCGAGATTTTCTATCATTGTATATCTGGTTTCCGGATCAGTCATTGACTTACTTATATAGTAAATCGGCTTTTGCTCCCCGCGGTCTTCCCGGATCAGGACTCCGCTAACTGCATGGTTTGAAACCGACACGTACAAATAAAGCTTTTCATCCACTTCTGGTTTGGATAATATAGGTGGAGTAGTTAAGTATGCCTTAAGCTGCCCAAAAGCTTCTTCACACTTCTCATCCCAAAGGAATCCTTTGTTTCCTTTTAGAATTTGGTAGAAAGGTAGCGACTTATCTGTTGATTTCGAGATAAAACGATTCAAAGCCGCAATCCGCCCAGTCAACCGTTGTACTTCCTTGAAGTTTCTTGGAGATGGCATGTTTAGAAAGGCGTTGATTTGGTTTGGATTGGCCTCAATCCCTCTTTCTGTCACTATATAGCCAAGAAATTCTCCGGATGGGACTCCGAATGTGCACTTTGCCGGGTTCAGCTTCATTTGATATTTATTGAGAATATCGAAACATTCCTCTAGATGCTTAACGTGATCCTCCTTCTTTAATGATTTAACCAACATGTCATCTATGTAGACTTCCATTGTCTTCCCGAGATGGTTGTGGAACATTTTGTTTACCAACCGTTGATAAGTTGCTCCTGCATTTTTTAAACCAAAAGGCATCACTTTGTAACAATAGATACCTCTATCCATGATAAATGACGTTTTCTCTTGGTCTTCGGGGTTCATCATTATTTGGTTATAACCCAAAAAAGTATCCATGAAAGTTAACAGCTCATTGCCAGCGGTGGATTCTACAAGTCGATCTATATGCGGGAGCGGGAAACTGTCCTTGGGACATGCTTTATTGAGGTCTGTGAAGTCGATGCAAACCCTATTTTTTCCATTTTTCTTTTTGACAACGACAGTGTTTGCTACCCATTCCGGGTATTGCACTTCCCTTATGGATCCTATCTTTAAGAGTTTGTCCACTTCGTCATTTACTATTCTTGCTCGCTCCGCTCCGAGCTTTCTTCTTTTTTGTTTTACCGGCTTGAAGCTTGGATCCACGTTTAGTTCATGACAAATTATGCTTGGATCTATGCCGGACATATCTGCCGCTGACCATGCGAATGATGTTATGTTTTTTCTCAAAAGTTCGATCAAAGCTTCTTTTATTTGGCCAGTCAAAGTTGCCCCAATTCGAATTTTCCGGTCCGGTTTGTCTTCTTCCAACACCACTTCGATTACTACATCATCTTTTTTCTGCCTGCTAGGAAATTTTGTTCTTAGTCCCTCTTTTGCGGGCTTCGTTAATTGCTATTGAATCTTCATACGGTGGCTAGCTAGATAACACGTCCGTGAAGCTTCTTGATCTCCCCGAATTGTTTCCACTCCTCTTGATGTTGGAAATTTGATACATTGATGATATGTAGAGGGGACTGCTTTCATTTGATAAATCCAGGGAGTCTCGAGGATGATGTTGTAAGCCGCGGGCTTATCGAAGACAACGAAATCCACGATCTTTGACACCCGTTTAGCAAGGACTGGTAGTTTGATTGTTCCGAGGGACATAGCTGATTCACTTGTGAATGCCACTAACGGAGATGGAGGCCCTATAATGTCTGCCCGACTAATTCCCATCCTTTCCAAAGTACTTAAAAAGATTAGATCGACCGAACTACCTGTATCGATAAGAATCCTTGATACTTCGAAGTTGGCAACGTCCAGGGTAATGACTAATGCATCATCATGAGGTCTCTCGAGGTGCCGCGTTTCTTCTTCGTCAAATGATATTGATGCACCTTGAAACTCGACTTCTTCACTCAAACTTGCTTTGAGTAAAACATTTCGCCTATGTTTTTTGATGGAAC